AAGCTGGGGGAACCGGAAGACGACACTCGAGGATAGAGCACCCGTCAGCTTTCGTGCTTTCAGCAGACCTATCAGGACCAGTGAAAGTCGGCGGGGCGGATCCGGATGCTCGCGGTGCTTTCCCGAAGAACTTCAAGTACATCTTTGTGGCTAAGCTTCGGGTGCCTAAGACCTTTGTTGAAGATGGTCGTGGAGCGTGGGTTGACTACGACGAGGGCGAGCTTGCCAAGGAAGAGTATGACGATAAAGATGATGGTCTAGCTTCAGAAGGCAAGGGCCCTACGGATGAGGAAGTTCGGGACGTTGTTGGCGCTGATGTTGATGCTGATGGTGACGAAGATTTTCCCGAGTTAGAGCGCAAGGTGAAGTTTGAAGTTGATGAAAACTCCGATCTTGCTCCCCCAGAACTAGTGAGCCTTATCTTTTCAACTGGCTTGCGTGATGAAAAGGCTGCGACTGTGCTGGAGGCGGTGCAGGATGTGGTTCTCTACTGCCAGTCACTCAACATCCCCGTGATTCGGTTTCATACTGATCGGGGCATGGAGTTCCAAGCCAGAGCTACGAAGCAGTGGTTGAAGGGCCAGGGAATTCGGGTCACCACATCAGAAGCTGGAGTGCACCAAACAAATGGAGCTGCGGAGGCTACAGTCAGATGGGTAAAGCAGCGGGCTCGTACACTACTTCTTTCTGCGGGCTTACCTCAGCACTTGTGGCCAACGGCGGTGACTACGGCAGCCACAATGCAGCGAGCAGACGTGCTGGGGTTCGAGCCAATGTTAGCGGCCCCGTATGGTGCTAAGGTGATGGTGAGAAAGCGGCAGCTTGAAGGACCCAAGTTAGAGGACATGGCACCGAAGTGGACGCAGGGAACCTACGTGGGTCTTTCAGGAAGCCTTAGCAAAGGGCATTTGGTTTTCGTGAAGAGTGATGAGGGGGAGAAGTTTGTTCATACTCTACATGTGAGAGCTGGTCTTCGGGATCCAGGCCCCGTTGAGGAAGGGTTCCATATTGAAGAGCCAGGCCCACCAGAACGTAGAGTTCGAGGAAAGTCATCTGGATCAGGTGATGTGGTTGGCGTCTCCAAGGTGACGGTCTTTGATGATGAAGGGCTCAAGAAGTGGGCCGAAGTTGTGCTTGGAGAGTGGTCCCAGGATGAGGCGGAGGCCATTGTGATTCAGGCGGGCAAGTATCTTCCTGCGGCAGACAACAACTACGGGATGTTCCGATTTGGGGGCCGAGTGGGTGTAACAAGAGCGACTGTTGAGAGGCCTTGGCTGGCAAAAATCTTGCTGAGGTTGCTGACAGAACGAGCTCCAGATGCGGAGTTTGCCTCGGTCTTCATCTCGATCAACAACGAAAAGGAGGTTCATATAGACCGAAACAATGCCATGGGCACGCTGAACTACATCCTGCCGATTGTCATGCCTAAGCGAGGTGGTGAAATTTGGCAAGAGTTGCGTAATGGGGATGTCGTGTCAGGGAGGATTTTAGAACTTCAGTCGAAAGAAGGACGAGTACGTTATGGTTGCTCATATCCTCTACAAGAAGGGCAAGTCTTCTACCTGAACCCCCATCGAAGACATGCTGTCTTGCCATGGAAGGGAGAGCGTTTGGTTGTCGTCGGCTACACCCCGGGAGTGCTACAAAATCTCAACCGCCATGATCGGGAACTACTGTGGGATTTGGGATTTCCTATGCCTTTAGTCGAGGAGGAGCCTAAAGCCGAAATCTACATCAATATGCTGAACGCTGTGCAGGGCACTGTGAATAAGGCTGAGATCCAGGACCTGAGTCCCGAGGGAACGCTCGACGAAAAGGCGGAGGTGAAGGTTGAGAATGAAGTATCCGGTGGTGATGATGAATGCCAGGGCTCGTTAAGTGCAGAAGATTGCTATCGTGGGCAATATGAGGTTGAAAGTGAAGAGTGGTCTTTCTGGGAGATGTGTGTGAAATTGCAAGATGGCACTGCGAGCATCGCTACGATCCCGGAGTTTGAGAATGAGGTGAGCATTGCCAAAGCTGAGGTAGGGTTCACCGAGAATATAGAGGGGCTCTTGCAGTCTTTGGATGTTCCTTTGACCATTGTGCGCACCGTCAATCCCAAGGAAGTTGCGCAGTGTTTCGAGAAGTGGATTCCTTCGATTGCCAAGGAGGTGAAGTCTTTGGAGCATGCTGTTGACCGTGTTGATGGTGCAAGTCCGGATGTTCGAGCCGACATAGATTCCGGAAAAGGACAGGTGCTGCCGATGAAGGTCGTTTATACAGTGAAGCCTCCAGACCCTCCTGCCGAAGGTGAAGTTCTCAGTGAGCAGTATAAGCGCAAGTCCAGAATAGTTGTGTGCGGGAACTTTGCGGCCCATCAGCCCGGAGAAGTTTACACAAATACAGCCCCGGCCGAGATAGTTAGAGCAGCTATCGCGTTAGCCAGGTTTTTCAATTGGGACCTGGGAATGATCGATGTGGTCGCGGCGTTTCTGCAAACCCCGCTAAAGGAGCTAAAAGGGGCACCGCTAGTCTACGGCATTCCCCCGAAGGTGCTCATCAAAGCGGGATTATGTCAGCCAGGCGAGCTATGGAGGTTCACGCATGCGGTGTATGGTCTACAAGAATCACCAAAGCTTTGGGGCGCATTCAGGGATCTTCGACTAGCTCGTGTGCAACTGGTGTTTGAAGGAAAAAGGGTGACCTTGATGCAGGGAACAGTTGAGCCATCATGGTGGTCCGTGCTAGAAGAGGGCTCGCTGCTCATCGGCATCATTGTTGTGTACGTAGATGATCTCTTGATTTGCGGTCACACAGCGATCATCAAGGAGCTTGCCAAGGCTATTCGGGCTATCTGGAGGACAAGCGATTTGCAATTGATTTCTGAAGGACCGCTGAGGTTCTTGGGCATTGAGATTTCTCGCTGTGCACAAGGATATGCTTTGTCCCAGCGGTCTTATATCGAGGAGCTTGTCAGGCTACATCAGTTGCCCACGGCGCGCAAGGATGTGATCCCGATATCCAAGGACCTCGCAGTGTTCGCTGCAGATGAGGCTGAAGGGGTATACAGCGAGACCGAGCTGAGGCTCGCTCAGCAATGGGCCGGAGAGCTTTTGTGGGTCTCCCAAAGGACCCGTCCGGATATAGCATTCACGGCGTCCTTGGTTGGGTCGTTGGCAACCCGCGCGCCCCGAAGAGCAGCTCAGATTGGGGAAAAGACGCTTGGGTTTTTGCAGAGAACTGCCAATCTGTGTCTGGTGTATGATGGAGACAGCTCTGGCTTGGCTGCCTACTGCGATGCAAGTTTTGCCCCTGAAGGGGGACGAAGCCACACTGGATGGCTGGTGCAGCTTCATGGATGCACAATTGCTTGGAGGTCAGGGCGGCAATCTACCGTGACTTTGAGCACAGCTGAATCGGAGCTGATGGCAATGTCTGAGGCCGTGCTTGCCCTTCAGAGCGTGGATTCGATGATGCAGGACATAAAGGTGAACGTGAAGCCCCACCAGTTGTTCTCGGACTCTACGTCAGCGTTAGCCATTGCCAATGGTTCAGGAAGCTGGAGGACTAGGCATCTGAGATTGCGAAGTGCGTGGGTGCAAGAGTTGATTTCCAATCAAGCAGTTTCTCTTCACCATTGTAGCGGAGAATTTCAGCCTGCAGACTTGCTTACGAAAGCGCTGGCCTCGCAGAGGATTCGAGCTCTAAGTCGATTGCTTTGTCTTCGTGACCCCGATGAAGAAGGTGATGATCGGGAAGGGGTTGCTTCCGCAAGCATAGCAGCAGTCGGCAGCAGCAGAGCCAGTGCCCCTAGTAAGGTTCCTAAGGGTCTCATAGCCTTACTGATTCTCTCGCAAGCAGTGTGTGGCGAATCGTTTGACTGGGAGCAAGAAGAAGCTTTGGTTGTGAGAACTGGATTGGCTGTCGACTACGGGATGATCACTTGGGCATTGCTGTGGATAGCCGCTTGGGAACTTCTGAAGTGGATAATGTGGCTGGCATATGATCGTGCTACACCTGGAGCAAAGTTACGAAGGGTTAAGAGACTTCAAAAATTGAGAGATGCCACTACGTCTGCAATTCAGAAAGAGCTAGAAGTAAGAGCGGGTCATCGCATTGAGCAACGGGGACAAGATGCAGCAAGGGATCCTAGCAGTCAGCAGCGGGATCCGCCAAGGGCTGTGAGTTCGAGTGCAGCGGCTTCAGATCCGCATGCAGAAGAGCGCATTCAGCTGTTGAGGAAGCTAGCCAAGGGAGTCAAAGAGACAGCAGAGTGCGGAGTTCAGGCTGGAGCGTTTGTGCCATGTCCACCATTGCAGACCCGGGTTATCTTACGCTATGTACATGAGCCACCCGAGGAAGTGTTCGTTGTGCCAGATACAGAATGCTTCCACGTTTACCCCGATTGCCACGCGTTTCGCCATCGGGGAACAGCTGATAGAGTTCAGCGCCGAAGGGTTTGCCAATACTGTGTGAATAGAGCAGCAGACGATCCGGACAAAACGCCAGACTACGGTCGAGACCTAGAGCGGGCTCAGGAGTACGAGCGTGCTTTCAACACGCAACTGCATACCTCAGGCCAGTCTTCAAGGAGGTGAGTGCACCGCACGGAGCACTCAAGGAGGAGTGTTGAAGGCCTGGGGACCGCGAATGCCACAGGACATTGTATAGTAGAAAGAAGGCTTCATGATCAAGTGCGGAGCTGACTTTCGCATTTTTGTCGTTTGGGCTCCAAAAGGGGAAGGCTACGTAAATGAACCCCTGAGCCATGAATCGGAGATTCATGAAGTCAAAGATGCGTAGCATAACAAAACCAAGGTTACAGCATACAACCTAAGTTGACGGATGCAAACGCATGTCCGCAGCAGGTTGAACATGTGTGCTTTGCGAAAAAGTCTGAATCGCCGCAGATCAGGTTAGCTATGGATACGCCTTTGCCGTCAGTAGCTGTCAATCCTGATCATCACTTAGAGTAACCTTATAGTAGCCCTCCTCATTCTAACTTAGCTCCGAACCAGGTTGAAAACAGCGAGGGCCGGGAGCTGGGTCGGGGCCTGACTGTTGGTCCACGGCTGCGGGAGACCACTGAACTGCAGGCATATGAGGGCTTGGGGTTTAGGGGCATGATCGATCGACTCGAGTCCGTGTGAGAGAGAGAGGTTGTAGGGGCGCATCTGCCAGGGTTCTTGAAACTCCAAGCAGCAGACAAGCCCCGAGATCTGCTGCTACAGTGACGCTGCCTCTGCTGGCTGAGGAATTGCTATGTGCAATCTGTCCAAGGGCGGCTCGACCGGCGTAAACATTCTGGTCGGAGCCTGATGACGCTGATGATTGCAGTGCTCTGCTACGAACACCCGGAATGATGCTGGTAGATTCAAGACGCTAGGCATCAAAGAGAAAGGTACCACGATTCGTGCCCAGTGGATAAAGGCCTGCAGAAGCTAGGCTGATATTTCAGAGTAGTCCTGATCCATGTTGAGGGCCGAATGCTCACGGACAACGTCGCCGTGGATGTGAATGTTGAGTTTTTTATGGCCAGAGTTCGGTCTGCCTTGGAGGCACCTCTGCAGGGGCGTGCATGGAAGAATCCGATTGGACAGCAGTCTTCTCGAAGAAGCCGGTTGGAAGGAATAGATAGAACAGCTTAATCTTAGAGTGGTGGCTGGCACTTAGTATCACCAAAGCATCATTGGTCACTGGTCATCCTTTCCGAGCCGAAGCATTCAAGGGTTCCCGGATTGGCAAACTGCAACAGCAGAACTAGCCAGCCAAGCAAGATTGCGGAAAGTTTCGCAGAAGGGCGGAACGCGAATGTCGATGAACGCCATGCAGTCCACGTCCAGGCTGCAAGAATACTTAACAGAAAGTTGTGCTCATTGCTGGAGGGAAAGTCCAATGTGGGGCTTGCAGGAACTATAGTTTTCGCTGCACGACCACCGCCCCCCGCCCATTTTTGCTTGCAGCACCGGCAACGCGTGCTGCCGGGCAAATCGTCCTATCGCCTGCTGAATGCAGAGGCCAGGTCGTGCGATTAGTAGTGCATGCATGCATCGTTGTCGTCCGACTGCATGTGCCGGCAGACACTGCTAGGGAAGAGCATGTTATGTATGGCACAAGATGGCACAAGAAGTGGACGGAGTTCAGGAGCATCCGACTGACAATCTTCGCAAGAGCTGCCATCGTAACGTCTTCGTAGAAGAGTGTGGTGGTGGTGGGTGCGAGATGTTCTGCATGCACATGTGCGTCGCTAGGGAGACCACCTCCCGGGCGTGCTCTGCGACCGCTACGGCGATGTGTCTGCTTCCAAGCTTTTCGGCAAAGCACAAGAGTAAAGCCAGCAAAGCAATGTCGTTGCATCCGTGCGGTGGCCACACAAGCCTAAGCCTCAAGGCAAGCAGGTAGGAGGGAAAAGAGGCAACCTGCTTGGGCAAAAGGACCCTGGGGCTGGCATGGCTCTTCGATTCTAGTCGCGGCAGTGATGGAAAGCTTTCAGGGTCACCCAACTTAGTCTACTGAGGTTATGTGTGCAATTCACAGCGCTGGCCGCCGAGCGTCTCTTCTGCGAGGACCTCGTCGCAAGAGTTCGAGTTGCAGTAAATGGACTATTAAACTGAAGCGTACTTGACCTTCCTGCCATCACGGGTTGCGAGGGGTTTCGGAGGTGTCTGCCGGCTGACAGGGGACCGAGTCGGTGAGAGAGAGAGAGAGAGAGACCTGTGGAAGGCATGGGGCACGGGTCTTCGGACCTTGCCCCTGATGCGAGCGAGCGAGCGAGAGACCTGTTGCACTGTGCCAGTAGAGAACTTCGGGGAAAAGTACAGCTTCCCCTTCGTGGAGTGGGGCACGTGCTTCCTTTGTTTCGGAAGCTCGGGCGGGCAACTAGGGACGTTTAGTGGCTAGAGGATGTGTCATTGTCGTAGTCGCGTTGTGCTGTGAGTTCGGAGTTGTGGGCATCCACATCGCTCGGAGCCCAGGCTCCGCTGTTAAACAGTCTGTGACCCGGCCGGTTTGGGGTGCCAGGCTTGGTCTACAGGCAGGTTGGGGGTGCATAGGTTTAGTGGGTCGGGGGGAGAGCCGGTGCAATCGTGACCCTCCTTGGCTGCGTAGAAGAAGAAGAAGAGGAGAGAGAGAGAGAAAAGAAATTTTCACGCCCTACCGAAAGCCCCGTAACAAACGGGGGGCCCGCGAGGCCGGGGGGCCTGACAAGCCCCTTAAGCCCTGCAGAAGAAGAGAGAAGAAAGAGAGAGAGAGAGAGGACAATCAGGGGAAGAAGTATTCAGTTTCCACCCTTCTCCAAAGACTCCAAAGCCCCCACAAACATCGGGGGGGCCGTTGAGGCCGAGGGGCGTCAGACACCCCTCATGCCCCGGGGAAGGAGAGAGAGAGGGAGAGACTGCAACCGTGTGATGATCGCTGGCTTCAAAAACAAGCGGCACTGGGCGAGGGTCAGCATGTCACCGGCTGGCGTCAGACCCTAAGCCCGAAACCCTGATGAGATCAAGCGAGCTGTGGAAGCTTCGTTCTGCATAATATAGGAGCTTAAATAATCACCAATACTACTTTGGGGGCTCCTCATTATAATTATAGTATAATGGTCTCCAAAACCCTATTCTCATTATGCCCATATATGACGCTTCAGAGAGCATCGGTCAAGCTTCGCTGTCTCTTGCTTTCCACGGCTTCCTGCTTTCGAGAACTGGTGCGTGGAGCCATGGCCGGAAACTTTTGAGGCCCCTGTCTTCTACAGAACCCTCACAGCAACCCTTATAGACCCGAATCGAAACTTCTGAGACCCCTTTATTGCAGAACCCTCATAGTATCCCGGATCAAATCGGAGAAGTCCAAAACACTCGACGAAACCCACCAAAAAAGTCGCTACGATCCTCGGTGCAGTAGACTTCGGTGCTTTCTTCCTTTTTCAGTGGAGGACATCTTGGACTCCTTGGAGGTGCGGCGCGGTGGAGCGAGAGCTGGGCTTTGGGGTTCTGGGGTCGCGACGCTGGGGCGTGCCAGCAGATCTCGACTTTCTCGCATTGCATTCGGGTTCAAGACTTTGCAGTTCTCTGACCCCAGTTTTGTTCTGGGTTTCAAGGCTTGGGTCCTACGCACCGTAGAAAGGCAGCAGACATGCAAGACTCCTGAACCTGCTGTCGTCATTCTGTTGCTGTCTGCAGTTCCAAAGTTTAGGCTCGGGGCTGCATCCTTGTTCCTGTGTGCTGCAGATTTCGTAGGCAATCCCAGGCCGATCGCCAATGGAATCAATGGAACGAAGAGTAATACTCGAGCGTGCCACACAATTAATTAAAATCTGGCATGGAAGATGTGGCAAATCTACGACAACATATTCAAGTGGTAATGTAGTATAGTGCAATGCTACAAATTGTTTGTCAAAGGCCGTCATCTCTCCAAGTGCGGTGGTCCTGCGCTACGATGCGTGGGACTTAAGAATCTGAAGGATCTCGCAGATGCTCATGTTGTCATGGCAGTCTTCGAGCTGTTGTGGCTTCGTTACATTTAGAGAGTAGTAATTCACGAAAGAGCGCATTGGCCGCTGAAGGTATGACGATGTTTTGATTACGATTTTTTCTCGTTTCGGGTCTACACTTTGCATGCTTTCTGACTCTCGGGCACCTTTTGTATCCTGAGATGTAGATGCTGAGGTCGTGCGCTGTAGTGTGAGATGTGACAAATTGCCTCTTGGGCGTTGTTGGACGAAGAGCTACAGCCTTCCAAAATGCGACTAGTCGTCGTAAGAGTAGTAGTAGTAGTAGTAGTAGTAGTAGTAGTAGTAGTAGTAGTAGTAGTAGTAGTAGTAGTAGTAGTAGTAGCAGTAGTAGTAGTAGTAGTAGTAGTAGTAGTAGTTGTAGTTGTAGTTGTTGTTGTTGTTGTTAGTAGTAGTAGTAGTAGTAGTAGTAGTAGTAGTAGTAGTAGTAGTAGTAGTAGTAGTAGTAGTAGTAGTAGTAGTAGTAGTAAGTAGTAAGTAGTAAGTAGTAAGTAGTAAGTAGTAAGTAGTAAGTAGTAAGTAGTAAGTAGTAGGTAGTAAGTAGTAAGTAGTAAGTAGTAAGTAGTAAGTAGTAAGTAGTAAGTAGTAAGTAGTAAGTAGTAAGTAGTAAGTAGTAGTGGTAGTAGCCCCAAAACCCTGTAATATAATATAATTGAGCAGATGTACCACAACATCCGCACCAAGGCGCGGGCAGACCGCACGCTGGAGTGACGAACCTGAATTAGTGCTTTGTGTGACGTGATGTGGGAGTTTCCACCATACTATAGTACCCTAAATAGTAGAATCCTCATTATAAGGACCCCAAAACAAAACAGGGGACCCTAATATAGTACCCTAAATCGTAGGCTCAGCAGACTCCGAACCATATGCCTCGCCTGGATTGTCCGAGTGTAAGCGCTGAAATCGTAGGATCCTTATGATAAGCACCCCAAAATCAGCCACCCCTGATTATTCAGGGGGAGATGTGGTCAGATGTCCCCAATCCGCGAGCTCAGTTCTTTGGTCCCCAGGAAGGATCCGAGCTTTGGGGTTCCTTTAAAGGGTTCTAGAAGGGATCTATAGCAGGGTTCCATAATATAGGCTTACATAATTACCCTTAATTTGATTAGAGTAGAACGGGCCCCAAATTAAGGCCCCTATTACTGGACGGTCCCTGACTCACAGACTTACTGGACATGTTTCAACAGACTGCTACATAGCAGTCCTAAGTTGTTTCTGAGACCTCTACAAGTACCAGGCAAGCGGGCATCCGAAAACCTGAGATCGTTCGTGGTGATCTTCCAGGACTCGACACACCTGGAGTAGGTTCATACCGTCTTACTGAAGCTTGCGGGAAGTCTCTCAGTCTCTCCCCGATGGGCCTCATGAATCGCACTCTAAAGCGCTGAACGGACTTACTGCACAACTTGATTTTGACATCTAGCTGCAAGCAGACCATTCCGCATTCGTGTCATGCCAGTTTCTCTGGGATTATGGCTTTGCAACGTTTCTTCCTACACGAGTATGATGTAGCACTAGATGGCTTATACCCGCTTCTACCGACAGCATGTGGTCACATGTGTTTGCGCTTGCGTGTATTTACGTGGCAATCGCACATGGGCTGCTTCTTGTGCGGGACTACAAAAAGTTGGACGTGCCTACTTGCAAGCATGAGCTAGTATTGTATTGCTACCTGGCGATGCTCGTAGAAATCGTGTTGACTGCCACTCGTCACCACGACGACGACAGCGACTGTGGTACTGCTGCTACGTGCATTCGATTGCATTCGCTTCTCTGCAGGAACGGGGCCATTGCAAGTAGACTACCGTAATGTCATTGATTATTGTTGCTATTGTTCTGGTCTTTCGTGCCGGTGCCGCCATTACTGTCATTCTGCTACAACATGCAAGTGGCTCTGTCCCGAGTTGTCTGCCAGGACCAGTGGAGTGCAAGGATGAATCTGGGCTGCGGCCTCGTGCTGGAGGGCAGAGAAGGGTTTGCACCACATTACGTGATAGAGCCAGTCGAATCCTGTGGCACTGCAAAATCATGCTGGTGTCGCGCTTGCTTTTATGGACAAACTTCCGCAATGTGGTGTTGGCAGTTGACAGCCATACGATGACAATTTGCCGCTCGCACGGCAGGTTCGTTTTCGCTGCTGACCTGCTCGCCGAGGCAAGCGGAGAAAGCACGGTTTTATGTTACAAGCGCGAGTCTATTTTTGAGTTTAACTCAGACCGACAGGGCACATAAAGCACGCTGAGCCCCGCTGCTAAGGAACGTGCCGACTAATTAAACGCAAAATGCCCTAAATCTTAATCTCAAACTCGAGCCGGCCTGTCGGACCTGTCGAACCTCAAGCGTCCGAGCGTGTGCGCCAAGCCCCTCAAACTTAAACAGATCTCAGCACATGCGAGAGGGAAAAAAAAACAGATCTCTCTTTCTTGTGGATGCTTCTGCTTCGTACGCCGGCATCGGGAGAACAAAGTAACACGCCGATATGTCGATTTTGTGGCTTTGACCAGTGTCCAGTCTATGGGAAGTTCGTGGACTTTCACGTATGGAACTGGCTGCCCACTTCTTGCTCCGATCAAGGGTCCAACCTGAACAGGAGAACTCGCCCTTTCCGCACCTCTTGAATGGATCCTTGATTTCGTGCACATCCGTTCTTTTCAAACGGCACCGCGGTAGGCAGCTTGAAGGAAGCAAAGCTGAGGGCCTTTGTCAGCATCGCATCTCACTGCAGGAGGAGTCTCTTTGCAGGGCTAGGGGATCTGCTCCAGAAAAAGCATATCTTTTCAGTATGGCTTCCTAAGTTTCATGTCATAATACTTAGAATAAGAGCTATTATTGTTATTGTTAGTAACTGTTAGTATTCTTATTATTGTTACTATTCTCAGTCTTATCCTTGTTGCTATTCTTGTTCGGATTATTATTCTTATTCTTTTTACTGTTACTATTCTTATTCGTATTGTTTCGGCAAGCTGAGAATCCCCAGCCAGGGCTGGACCTCGGGATCCTTCTTCGAAGCGCAGACTTTGCGCGGCTTGTTGGCCGAAGCCCTCAGATGTGCAACCGGCACACAGGTACTACAGGGGCCTTCATAAACTACCGATACTATTTTTGGGGGTTTCCTTTTATAAGTATAGTAGAATGGGCCCCAAAAGCCTAGTCTAGTTGTAAGCCCTTGTATTATCATACCCGTAAGCAAGGAATGATGGGCAGCATGAGGCAATCCTTTCCATCACATCAGCCCGTTCCTCCCACTTGATTTCTCATACCTTCAACCCCGAACCCTAAATCGACTACCTTGTTCAGCTGGGCGGGTGGCAAAAAAATCGAATGCCTTTAACTTACGTTGTGTGAATTACAGCAAGCCTCTAGAATAGGTTTCGCATCATCCTACTCAGTACCAACGAACCTCCTTTTGTCCGAGTGTGAGCGCCTCAACCCTCAAGGGGTAGTTATAAGTGGGGGTATAAGCAGGGTAACCATAATTATAACCCATATTAGGGGACTTATAACCCCCCTATAACTACCCATGAGTCACGTCTTTGTCGCATCCCATCTCAGGCTTCAGCCTTGTCGGCGCTGGAGAAAGGCTGGGTCGTAGTGCGCAGTATTCACTAGGCAGGGCTTTGGGACATTTTATATTTTCTCTTATTGGGCTTAAGAGGATCTTATTTACTAATATTTTTCAAAGGCTTTAACAGCCCCACCTAGTTCAGGCTTCTGCATGTGTCATATCCACACATATGTACATATACATACAAGTTTTTACATATATACATATCTACATCTGTGCCTATACTAGCTGAAGGTAAGCTAGCTGAAAATCCTGTTTAGAGAGTGCTGTCTATGGACGGTTTCCGGTCACTAGAAGGACAAAACATGACAAAACTGCGTCAACATCAGTCTCTGAGCAATCTGGCAGGCTCGCCCACCACATCTGCTCACCAACGCATTGAACTCAGTCCAGCATGAGTGCTAAAGATAGCACTGAACCCGGAAGAAGTCCGGTGTCGGTGTGATTTTCAGGTGTGTGCTCCGTGCACGAGTCTGGCTCGAAATTGCCGGCAGAGATTGCATTTTCAAAGGTCCACATTGCACAGCTTGTTGCTTTGCTGGCGCGGGAACGTGTGGGTTCAAGCGTCTCAATTGCCACAACCGCCAACGATGTTGTTGAACTTCTTCCGAAAGGCATGCCACATGCTCTGAGGATCACTCGCAAAAGAGCACGAAGCCACAGTTTTCAAGCAACGTCTTGTCTCTCGGTCTTGAAGCCAAGGCCAGAAAGCATCAGCTCCGCAGCCGGGGCGGAGGACTCCTCAGGCGTATCTTTCATAACACATGAACTGTTAATCTAATGCCTGAGATAAAATGTATTATAAATACTAAGAATATTAGTGTATCATATCATGTCTAGTTATAACTTATGTGTACATATATGTATACAGTACCATGTTGTACTATATGATGAGAGATCATTTCATCATATTGTGTTGTTTCATATGATAGTGTGTTATATCATATGATACTACATTAACTTCTATTCTATTGGGTGCTATTCTATCATACTATATCATGTTTTATCATGTTACATCGTATCATGCCATCCTATATTCTGTTTGACTTGTTTTATCGCATTTTGGTTTAAATAACTTGGCAACGGATCGGACAGGTGCTCAGCCTGTTTGGCGAGAGCTCCGGCGTATTTTGTGCTGCGCTGCCGCCTCAACTTGTGCGGGTTCTGACGTGGCTTACATTGCCAACTGCAAACTCTCGCCGACGAAAGAATCTTGCAGACATAAGTCGCCAGCCTGACTCTAACGAGTCCGGTACAAGAGCAAAGCAGAAGACGCATCGGACCAACCTTCAAACCCTCCCGTCTTGCGTATACCTACATATTGACAGATATGCAAAGAGATGAAGACACTAGACGCAGATGCAGACACACAATCACACAAGCACAGAAACAATACCTTCACCCGCGGCTCATAACTCGTCAACCTTGGCGGGTTGGTAGTCTGCACTGTAGTCTACAGTGACTGAGTTCTGCAAACGGCCGCCGAAAGCTATCTGAGGCAGGGTGCTTTGTCCAGCTGCTTCGTGCCCGCCTGGGGTGCAGCACTCATTGCACGGTTTGAGTTCTGGGGTTTGAGAGTCTTTTCGAAGACACCACCTCTAAGACAACTCTAGACTGCACCTTAAGCTCTCGACAGGTGCCGAACCCCGAAATGTTCGAAGACCCGTAAATTCCAGTACCCAAAACCTGAGCACCCTGAACCGTAAATCCGGAAGCTCCGAACGGCTGGTGCTTCCAGGAGAAATGGAGCCCTCTGTGTCCGACATGGAATATAATGCCTACGCCAGGGCGGAAAAAACAAACCGAATCCGACGAACGCTGCCGCTGCAGTTCTCCCAATGCTTGTTTTGCAAAGCTTTCGGTACAAAGCTTGCTCATGTACAATACGAGAACCGCCAACCACCCGAAACTCGACCAAGCGAGTAAACGCAGGATCCAATAACCCTTTCATTGCCTCATCCCCGAATGTAAAGCAGTTTTTGTCAAGTAGTTCGCCACAGCGTGCTTGAACACATGTGGTCACAGTAGAGTCCAGGCTCAGCAACTTGTGTCGAAGACCCTCACGTATTGAAGACCGCGCAGCCGCAGCAACGAAATGTCATCCGCACACGACCGTGCAGTAGTGCCAGGGAGTGTAAGAATGATAGTAGAATGCACGACACTATGCCGTTAAGCGCCATCATCGAGAGAGCATCGCTCGCACAATTATCGCATAACGTACCCCCATAAACTATCTTTCGGGGTTCCCTATCGTATACTGTACACTGTACCCCGAAAGCCCTATTCTGAGTATCAAAACCTAAAGATTCAACTCGACCCGACGGAGGTTTCCCCGAGGAGGCCAAGGAAGCTTTGGAGATGTTGGCGGCGAGGCTTGGTCCCCGTCCTGTACAGGCTTAGGGGGTTCAGGGCTTATGGGGCGTGAGGCATCGGGGTTCAGAGGTTTAGGGTTAAGGGGTTTAGGGTTTAGGGGTCCAGGTGTAAAAAGGGGTTTCGGGGTTATAGAGTTTTAGTCCTGTCAAGGCCTCGGTTGAGGGTTTAGGGGCGTGTCTTGTGAAGACCTTTCCAGCTTGCCGGCACACACCCAAAGCCCGTGCTGAAAAGGAGTGTGCAGCCAATTTCATTTGGTGATGGTGACTTCGCAGTTCGGGAAGTACATCATTCACATGGATCGGGTGCTTTTGTGTTCTCTTAGCAGGATTTGTTGAGCAAAGCATGTAAGCGTAGTCATGGCAGTTTAACCCCCCTGTGCTAAACCTTCAGGCGATTGCAGACGTCACAAGTCCTGGTGCAAAAATTGGTTGAGTGGCTGAGGGTAATCATAAGGACCCTTAGGGGGGTAACGGGGTAGGGGACCTTAGTACCTAAAGCAAGGACTTAATAAGGCCTATTTAAGGAAGTATAGCCCCCAACCACCTTACCCCCCCCCCACCCAAGGGTGCCGATGAGGTAAAGGGGCCCTGGAGTTCCTGCTCTTTCACATCGAAGTACTCAGTGAGTTTAGTAAGGTGTTTACATTCACGCGGTGCAGTTTCCTCAGAGGTGTCAACTCACATGCTCTCCTTGCTGTAGGTTAGGGGAGTGTGTGGTTGGCTAGACCGGGCTGCTGGACAGCGAGGCCTCTTGCAAAAGAACGGGCACCTGAACCGTCAGGCTTAGTCTCCTGAAGAGCTTCCCATTCCCCGAAGCTGCAGGTTTAAATACATTCGGAATGGTAAGCGCAATACTAACCATGCAATACAATACAAGCAATAGTAGGAATACTGATGCTAGTAGCAGTAATGGCAATAATAGTAATTACGCTTGCAACAATACATGTGACTATCATTACCATTAGTAGTGGTAATAAATAATGAATAAATGTGATATCTATAACGCGAATCGTTCCGAACGAGAATAATTACGACACGATAATAATGAGAACAGAACTGTAAGAAGGGGAATCGTATCCCGAAGTCCTCCTTCAAAAGCTATTCTATGTTAGATCTCAAGCCCTGTATTTACCGCTCTAGAAACCCATAACAAACTCGTGAGCCCTATTGCAATCATGAAGGCCCCTTCTCCTCATCTCGCAGGAACGGCTGCTCTGAGAAGGTCACGGTTTCTTCCTTGAGCAAGGTGCCGCGGTCTGCTGGGTTTCTCGGGGTCGGAGGGTTTGCGGCATAGCATGGTAGTTCTGTAAATTGGGGTCCCGTTTTAGGTCCCAGCAATAGTACAGCACCCTAATAAAAAAAAGTATCTTAAAAGAGGTCCTATTTTAGAGAACTGCCCAAACATCACAGCACAGCTCGTCGGCTCTTGGGTCGTGAAGTCTGTCGGCTTACATCATGCTACAAACGGGACCACCAGCAATTTTTCGAGCCTTGCTGAATCAGTGAAGCAGGAGGAAGCGGCGGTTCCCTGAACCCTAAGGTCCTAAGGGTTTAATTGGAAAAGGGCCCGCAACAAAAAAGCTTTAAACCTTATAAGCCCCAAGCCCCAAAGCCCGTAAGCTTGCCTCAGGAGCCCAGCCTTTCCGAGCTTGGAGGTGAGTCGCCACGAGCCCAGGTTCAGACGGACAGGAGCAGAGGTAGGTGTATATGTATATATATATATACACACATGTGTGTTTATATATGTATGTATGTATGCATGAGAACTTCGTTCAGTGCGAGTGCTAAAGAGTATTACAAATGTGTGAGAACGAGTCGTGTTCCTCAAGTGCTGCATCCTTCACCTCGTCCTCGTGGCGCTGAGAGGGAGAAGGAAGATCCGCAAACGGAATGCGGCCTTGAAGACCTTGGCTGCGGAAGCCGTGGCCGTAGCCCTTCATTCATTCGCATCGCCTGAATATGAGTAGTATCTTCCTCCACCCCTTCTCAGCACACGAATGAAAGAGGAGAGGGAGCATGGAGCATCCAGGAAGGCGGAGGGCTTCAAGTTGTATCAAGGTAGCTTAGCGGCTGTGCGTCTGGCAACTTGCGCAGATCTCCGACTCAAACTGCCTAGGTCCCGCTGCAAGTTCGACATCGCCTCGCGAGCTTGTCTTGAGTGCGGGATTAGGGGTACCTTGTTTTGGGGTCCTCATAATAGGATCCTACTATTCAGTAATTACTATATTAGGGTCCCCTATTTTCGGAAACTCCCACATGTCTTCTCCAACTCGCCGTGCATCCCGGAAGCTACACAGTGCAGAGAGAGGGCAGCTGCAAGCCAGGTCTCCTTGGAGCCACCTCCACTTGCTGGGTCCTTGAAGACGTGCTTTATTGAAATGAGCTGGAACAGCGAGTGAAGCAGAATCACAGGTCAAGTCTGTTAGATTGTCTCGCAGTACTAAAAGGCACAACGAAAGCTTATGCATGGTGGCAGCAGAGGGCATGGTCTAACACAGACGGGTTATGGGGCTACGATATGGACTTGCAGCTTTGTCATCAGCTTGTTCTCACTTGTCACGAGCTTGGCAAACTCGCGAACCGCACACTGCTTCGAGTGTTTGTGAACAACGCTGCGGCATGAAGGCACTTCCGGACAGTGCAACACAATGCAACATGGGAGTTTCCGAAAATTAGGGGTACCCGAATTTGGAGACCTTATAATACGGATCGTACTGTATTAGGGTCCCCTATTTTTCTGAAACCCCCACATAATGCATTGCATACGTGATCGAGCGTACCATGGTGAAGGCTTCGTACTTGCTGCCGGCGGTTGTAAGACGGGCAAGGCTCTTCGGATAAGCTCTGGTCCATGTCTACTTAAAGGATTATGGGACTTAGTAACTGTAGGGTTCCCTTAAAGGGCTCCTTTAAAGGGATCTATAGGGGGTTCTATTATAGGGTCTACTTAAAGGATCATGGGACTTAGTAACTAGGGTTATAACTAGGATAACCAAAATTATTACCCCAATTAAGGTACTTATAACCTTACTTACTAAGTCCCATGATCCTCCAAGTAGTCTATTTACGGCTTAGAAAATGCAAAGTGTGGATACTTTGAGTAGCTACGAGTTGGATCATGCAGATGTCGGCAATTTTGCAGTCTGGCTCCTGAGCGAGACTGCTACTGTCGTGATTGCCGAGGCACCAACCTATGGCAGTGTGGAAGAGGGGGCGCGGCTGTCTGCAAGCTCAGACCCATTGCCATTCAACATGACCAGTCTCGAGACACGAGAGCCACCACCGCCACCCCCACCATGACCAGCGATGGCGAGGAAGAGGTTGGTGATGGCAAGGCTACACAACACAAACAAAAAGCAAAGGGGGAAGTACATGGGAAGTACATCAGCGCCAGGATGGAGGCGTAAATAATTGCCAGTACTATTTTGCGGGTATTCTATTTTATTATATAATCGGGCCCCAAAACCTTTTCTAATTATTGAGGCCTCTATATTAAGGCGAAGTTGGAGGGGTAGCTGGAGGAAGAAACGGGGCCCCCCGACGGGAAGAAACTCCAACATGAAAGGATAGAAACTTTCAAAACAAATGCAACAGAAGCCACAGCAAGGCTGTCTGTGCAGAAGTGCTCGTTCGGTCCAGCTGGTGGTCGTGTAGCTTGAACCCAGAGACTGCAACATCCCTTCGTCAAGGAATGTTCCTGAAATCATATTAGGGAACCTACTACAGTTTCAGGAATATTCATCAATTAAGGGATGTTGGAGTCTCTGCGAAGCCCGGATCTGCGTCTGCCGTCCTGTTTAGTTTAAGGTACACAGCCTGGACTGCACTCGCTGCATCCGCAACCAAACCAGGAGGAGGGGCATCCGGCGGGTTGTAAGTCAGTCGCTGTTGAGGACACATATTTAGGTTCGTTTCTGACAGAGTGTATGTCCGCAAGCTCTCCGGTCATCGTCATCGTCAGGTGGCGGGAAAGTCGTAGTGACTTCCTAGTTCATACGTAGTAGGATGACTTCAAATAGCAGTCATAAGAGCGCGGGCAGCAGTAGTCGTTGCAGTAGCAGTTGCACCTGCAACTGGCAGGAGTAGGAGTACTTGGAGGGTCATGGGACTTAGTAAGTAAGGTTATAAGTACCTTAATTGGGGTAATAATTTTAGTAATAATTTTAGTTATCCTACTTATAACCCTAGTTACTAAGTCCCATGATCCTTTAAGTAGGACCCTAAACCCAGTAGGACAGTAGGAGCGGAGCCCGGGCATGCCCGGGCCGAGGCTCCTCGGCCGTATCCCACGCCAGAACTCGAGTTCAAAAGGGCAAGGTAGATTGCTTCAGTAATTACGACTCTTATTCCAGCATGGTCCTACGAGCTAAATGGAGCCAAACGACGTTGTGCTGGACAGGACAAGTAGCCTTCCTTGCGAGAAGTGGCTTTCAGGACTTCTTGTAATTTCTTGCCGCAGCCGGACAATGTCTGCGGTGAGGCTGGCGGGTGCTCCAGGTTGTAGGTCTGCGAGACGCTGGACACTGATTGATACAACAGCTGCAGGTTGATGCGTTGCATCAACTTAGCCGTCTGGCAGGCGGCCCAGCTTCAAGAGACAAGGCTTCAGGAGTTTCACGGACATTTTGTGAACACTGCGAACCACTTTCAATGTGGCTGCTCTTGAGCCTTTTCGGAGTCTTTGCAAGGTCTGTGGGCCTGCGCGCGAGACTGGTCCATCGTGGCAGCCTCAGCCGTCGCTTCCAGTGCTGGGACGTCGGACGTCCGACGCTGTCGAAGGAACAAAGTCGATGAGCCCAGCACGTACCCGATCACATACGTACTGTAATACATGAATAAAAATATACTAGTTATTACAATATCATATAGCACAATACAAGACGCACAGACCTTGACCTCAAGCAGAGGGCGTGTGACACCGTTCGAGCAGCCACTCCGATCACTGGGGAGGCTCCGCGCATGCCGGTTTGGACAGCCCGATCCACTTCGTTTGTGGCTCAGGGGCGACCTTTGGTGCTGACATGTCGGTGGCACCAAAGCGATACCGCAGATGCGGTCATACCGGCTGCTTTCAAGAGTATTAGGAACCGCTAGGAACCCAGGAGTCCAGAGGCTCAAGCACCACTACCCCGCGAGTCCCGTCCCCGAGGCCTTGCAGGACACGAACCAGCTCCAAACAGTCGGCCTCCGGATCTTACAAGGCACCCCGAAGGTTTCAGGAGGTTACTAGAGAGGTGTGCACAGCTGCTGGCCAGTGTGTGCAGAACTTCAGTTGCGGATGCACCTGTGTTTTGGATGCTCACTGGTGGGGTGCAGGCACTGGAGCAGGCACAGCCCGAGCAGAAGAGCTCTGAAAAGTGCGCAGCTGGCAGTTGAAGTGCAGTGGCGGGAGGTCGCTTGTTGTGTCGACAAGCAGCATCGGCCATGGTCTGTCATTCAGTTTGGCATAAGTTTCACCCGACTACCCCGAATTGGGGAGTTTAAATTGCAAAAAGCGAAGAGCAACCATAACTAGCCTTGTTCGAGGCATTGAAGCAGTCTTGAGAGAAATAGCCTCGTTCGGGAAGAAGGAACCATGCTCAAAGACGCCCGGGGTGGCGGCCACAATGCCAAAGTCAGCATCATCTGCGTTAATACAGCGATTAATGATACAGTAGTGCCTGGCGCAATGGTCGTCCACATGGCCTTCCTGTGTGCTGGAAACCACCTCCATCGGAGGCAATTCTTTGGATTTGAAATCGGTAGATCATGGGTCAGTCAGGGTTCTGAAACTACCAAACACCATTTCCGTAAACCCTAACCCCTTCATTAGGTTTCTATGCTATCTTAACCCCTTCATTAGGTTTCTATGCTATCTGAACCCCTTTATTAGGTTTCTATGCTATCTTAAGCCGTTTATTAGGTTTCTATGCTATCTTGACCCCTTTATTAGGTTTCTATGCTATCTTAAGCCTTTTATTAGGTTTCTATGCTATCTTAACCCCTTTATTAGGTTTCTATGCTATTTGGGTGCATCGTTTTCATAGAACTCCGAAGCAGTCTCACTCAGCAGACCTCGAACCACATGCCTCGCCTGGACTGTCCGAGTGTGAGAGCCGAAAAGCCTGCTACTATAGGGGCTTAAACAATTGTATATATGTGTGTATATATATATTTATATTTATATACATATTATTTTGGGGGCTCCATATTAGAATTATAGTACAGTGGGCGGGTGATGAGGCTCAGGCCTCGTTGCCTCGAAGGCTCTTTTTTTTCCGGCGAGGCCTGGGGCATAGCAGTTTTTCGTGGCGTCTCGCGACAACAGCTTCTTGGAATGAGGGTTGAAGGTTTTGGGTTTGGGGTTTAAGGTTCCTGGCATATGCGTAGTCCAGGTGGAACAAAAGGGTTTAAGGTTTAGGGTTTTGAAGTTAGGGGTTTAGGGTTTGGCCGAAGTAAGTTAAGCCTTAGCTCTCGTCTCGTGAGCTGCTTTCCTGCGAACCAAATCTCTGAATATTTCCGACAGGGGGAGCTGCAGCAGCACAATGAGGGACTTGCAACCCCAGCTAGATACCAGACGGCTGCGCTGGGCAGCCCATGAACATCCAAGGCCCAGATCTTTGCAAAGCCGAAGTGGGCGCTGTCAACATGGCAGTATTTGTTGAAGAAGAGCCGGACGCAGCTGAAGATGATGCAGGAGAAGGGGTGCTGATAGGTTGGTAGATTCAATGTCTGGAAGCATCGGTGACATCCAGGTGCCTCCAAAGAGAACTCCAAAGAGAACGAGAGTCTCAATGAAGATAGCAACAGTCTCGGTCTCAGACTCGTTCGCATTCTTCATTTTTCAGCCTGGGTTGAGCCCATCGGCGGATATCGGCCTTTGAACCCTAAGCCCTAAACCCTAAGCATCGCCTGAGGCAGAGAGTCCGACCCACCGTCACGGAGGTCGACCAGAGAGATGCACAAGACGCGGCTTGGAATGCACAGACCCAGAGACGCCAATATGCTGCAGCTAAGCAATATTCCTTAACTTAAGTCATGTTTGAGATCCTACTAATACAACTACAATTTACGGAATATTCCTTAATTAATTGAGGGATTTTGGAGTTTTTGGGTTTAGGGTTTAGGGTCCCTAAAACCCTAAACCGTGCCGCTTCCATCATGGCGAGCACTGGCCCCCAGAGCTGGAGCTTCGGGCCGACTGCAGCACTAGACTTAGTAGTTCCTTTAAGGGTACTATAGGGGGTTCCTTAAAGGGATCCTTAAGGGTACTATAGGGGTCTATCATTAAGGGCTCCTTAAAGGGTTAAAGGGATCTATAAGGGTTCTATAATGGAGGAGTTTGTAATATGGGAGTTTCCGAAAGTTAGGGCTCCTTCAAGGGGATCTCTATAAGGGTTCCTTAAAAGGGATCTATAGGGGTTCTATAAAGGGCTTAGGGTTTTGGGAGTTTCCGAAATTTTAGGGGCTTCTTTAAAGTGATCTCTATAAGGGTTCCTTAAACGGGATCTATAGGGGTTCTATAAAGGGCTTAGGGTTTTGGGAGTTTCCAAAAGTTAGGGGCTCCTTTAAAGGGATCTCTATAAGGGTTCCTTAAAAGGGATCTGTAGGGGTTCTATAAAGGGCTTAGGGTTTTGGGAGTTTCCGAAAGTTAGGGGCTCCTTTAAAGGGATCTCTATAAGGGTTCCTTAAAAGGGATCTATAGGGGTTCTATAAAGGGCTTTGGGTTTTGGGAGTTTCCGAAAGTTAGGGGCTCCTTAAAAGGGATCTATAGGGGTTCTATAAAGGGCTGAGGGTTTTGGGAGTTTCCGAAAGTTAGGGGCTCCTTTAAAGGGATCTCTTTCAGGGTTCCTTAAAAGGGATCTATAGGGGTTCTATAAAGGGCTTAGGGTTTTGGGAGTTTCCGAAAATTAGGGGGTACCTTATTTTGGGGTCCATATAAAAAGGATCCTATTATTTAGGGTACCTATTAGGGTCCCCTATTTTCGGAAACTCCCATCTACGAAAACTACGGTACTTGGAGGATCATGGGACGTAGTAAGTAGGGCTATAAGTAGGATAGTGCAATGCAGCATAAGAATACGTGCCATAATGTGCCACGATGTCCGTCAACATCCACGCAAAGCAGATGGGGCGCATCAGCTCCTTATCCAAAGGCTATCGCGCTCGTCCACATCACGCCGTTTGCTGCGGTCGGGCACAAAAGGCCAGCGTGTCCAACGGAACTCAGACATGGTAGTGTGTGGAAATAGAGCCACTATGTTATAGCATGCTATAGTACTGCATTGTGCATCCTATGGTATGATGCAGTAACTTACTTTATGGTCTCATAGTATATTATGGAGCGGACATCGGTCAGATCTTTGCATAGGTGCAGCTAGACAAGCGCGATCTATAGGAATCCGTCGGCCACGAGCCTGGCCTGCCTTTTGCGAGTCTGTGTCTCAAAAAAAGCCAAGACCCCCGAAAACCACAAATTCAGAAAAACCTCATCTGGCCGAGGCGAGGCCTATAAACTTCCATGGAATTGATAGACTCTCAACATATGTCAGCTCCCATCGAAACTCCTATGAAACCTTATCAAAGCCCTCTGTACTATGCTAATATACATTAATATGTGTATATATATATATATACACACATGGAAGTTTTTTTGTGCTAGCCTGCTTCTTCGTTAGTATGATCATGCTTGTGATTATGATTCTGATGGGAATTACGACTACCATTGCCATGATTGTAACTATCACGATGATTAGTATAGTATTCTGATTATGATTATGTTCCCCTAAACCCCAAACCCCGAAACCCCTGAACCCCTAAACCCTAAACCCTAAATGTTCACCCTCAACTCCGACAGGCTCTCGGAGCTTCGGACACTCTAAGAGCCTGGGGCACTCCAAGAGCTTCGGGCGCTCGAAGAGCTTTCGGGACTCCGGCGTGGGCAGGCTGGAGTTGCGGCTTTAGGGTTCGGGGTTTTAGAGGCTTAGCTGCCTAACAATACGAGCTCAGCTGTAAGAAAAGGTTTTGGGCTTTGGGTTTTTTTTGGGGTTTAGGGTGGGAGTCAGCTGTCCTGGCGTGACGTTGCAAGCCAGTGCAAAAGGGTGGGAATCTGGTGATGGATGAGGGGCTTGATTGTTTTTTTAGACTCGGCCCGGGTGTGTGTGTGTGTGTGTGTGTGTATCTCTCTCACACCTGTATGAGGTTCAGGGTTGTTTGGTTGTTGGGGGTTCTGCGTATGGGTTGCACTCTGCATGTAATGTCGACTTTGGGCTTGTACTGTGCACTTACACTGCCGGTATGCATAGTGTCCGTGTGCGGCGTTCGTCGAGCGTCATCCAATTCTGCCGCTGTATACAGACCCAGCGACTCCATACCAAGAATGTTGTGGTGATTTTTGGCCCTGCTCCACACAAAATGCTTGGAGGTTGGATCAGGCTGACTTGGAGGACTTCCGTTTGACACGGCCAGGGCATCTTGCATGCCGGTCTTCTATACCGTTACTGTTTACTGACGAGCTTTGTTCGCCGTCAGGAGCTCGCCGTCGGCCTTAAGTCGGAGGAGCACCATGAGCTCATGGAGACACAGTGCCGAAGCCGCACGGAGGTTTTGGAAGCTCATCGACCGATTCCCTGCTTAAGGCTTAAGGCTGAAAGAACCCATTAGTAACATTGGTATCACTCCCAGGTCTTCCTCTGGAATTCTGGCAGATTTCATCGAGCGGGAGAAGGCAGGACTTTCCTACCGCACTCGTTTCGTGGGCCGTTGGAGGCCATGGCAGTGCGGAGTAAGAGGGACGTACTTCATTGCTGACCCGGCGCAGGCTAAGGACGGTCATTGGAGGCTGACCAACGAAAGGCGGGCTGTCAACCCGCGTCAAAGTCAGCCTCCCTGGGGCAGCGCCAGCATGTTCGTCTCGCAAAATTGTTGCTGCTAAAGGACACACAGTGTAGGCAGTGCCATGGAGAGCATCGCAGGTGGTTGTTCTACTTCCTCGCGACCAAGCCCAAGCTGTTCGTCGGCAGCGCTGCCGACCATGTTGCTCGGCCGCTCTCCATGGGTAGTTCGCTAAATTGGGGTCCCATTGTAGGTCCCCCAACACAGTACGGTACCCTTGTAATTAGTATTATAGTATTATGGTATGATAGTGTTATAGTATGATAGTATTATAGTATTATAGTATGATAGTATAAAAAGGACCTAGCAGGCTCCTCTTACTTAGAGAATAACCTCCCGTGCCTCTGGATCTGATGTCCCAGGCAGATTTGGAGCCGACGGGAGCATAATTCAAAAATGGATCCCTAAACTAAGCCGGAACATTGTGCTGCTGCTACTTTTTGATGTGCATGCACTTCAAAAGTAGCTACACGAATGGATC